TTTTCAATTTAATGATTTAGTCTAGAAGGCACATCTTTCAATTTTTTCCACGAGGCCTTTAACAGAGGGAAATCTTAACATTAAATGAGAAATCTTTGTGGAACCCTTAGAAAGGCGCTGGGACTCCCGGAGATTCGCATACCATAGTTTAAGAGCCACTGTTATAAAGTCTAATGAATAGAAGTTTTCAATTCCTTATAAATAAAAAAGGTAGTTTACCTAAAGAACCATTTGAAAATGCTTAGATCATGAGTAAAATAAATATACGCAAGTTATTGCCAAATTCCATGATCCAAATGCATATTAAAAATCAAAAAATAAAGGCCGAAAACATATGTGTAAAATTATTTTTTTCTAAATTAAAACATGAAGTCAGTGTGTAATGCCTGTTGGTTCCTGCTTTTCTCTGAAACCCCTTGTCTACCTGCAGACCCGGCTAGGTGTGTGGGAGAAACTGAATAATCAACACACATGATTCTCACTAATTATTTTATTGATACCAAAATATCAAGCAGACACAATAACAATCTAATTAAGATAACAGATCAGATAGTAGAGAGTGGAACTCACTAACTAGCCTGTGATAATAATACGCACCCTCAACTGATTCCACGATAGCCTAAACATGCTCAATATAAACTACACGTCGCACACTAATTAGCTAACTTCAATTTAAATAAGGATCACGATACCTGTACTTTTATGAAGTTGAGTCCTACACTTGAACCTTGAAGGCGATTCTTATCTGGATTTGATCACCGTCGATTGATCCACTCTCAGTAAACTTCCATTGATAAACTCCAAATGCACTTAATAATTCCAGGATCCTTCACTCTTCAACTAACCAACTAACTCACCAGCTCCTTGCCAACTCACGAATACATAATTTATATAATATACTTAATTTGCATTATCACGCTTCCTTACTCGGCGAAAGTTGATTGAAATAAATATTTTTCTAAAAAAGTTCTGAAGGGATTAGTAGAGCCGCGTATGGATCCGTCACAAATGACTGAATAAAATTATAGGTGTTAACATTTTTTTGTACTTTCTCTTATCAAATCTGTAATACTGTTATATATTTAATGCATCTGCAAAGTACTTATTTCACAGGTACATTACTTACTAATTTAATAAACTATTTAATACATACGTTATTGTATGCTTCTTTTCAAACAAGTAAATTGATCATTACCCATATAATCTTGAATTTCATTTTCAATAAAATGGCTTTTAATTACCTCCAAAAGGAAGCACGTTAATACTAATCGATATATCTTCTGTGATTTTCTTTTAATTTGACAAATATCTCACAGAATTCGGCATGAACTTTTAATTTCAAGGAACTGCTTTTACCAAAAGCCAAATAAAGCAAATTTCAATTTGTCATCTGTGCAAATATTTTATTTTCATTCAATTAGATAAGTACTCTAGTTCCAGGCAAGCAACTGCATACATTACGCGAAAGTTTTTACAGCCGTGGAGCGATGTCTGCACAAGCAGTATTGAAAATTCATTAGCATAAATCAACCGCCTTTGATTTACGGATGAACGGTTTTTACAAAAACTGGTTGGAAATTGAGATACTTTTCGATGAATCATCGGCTTTTACTCCCGTTAATTAAGATGCTTTGTTGTAATTATCCTCGCTTCGCCCAGAGTTTTCGTTTAATCGATCGGAACGAAAAGTGCTCACAAACCAATATAGCCCCCTATTCCTCGGTCAGATGTTACCTAACAGGTCCCAGAAAAAAATCAAGAGAGGTTATGTAAAAAGATTTTTAGAAAGATAACCGATAGTAAAATTTTCTTTTTCTTAAAATTCTGAAAGAAAAGAGGCTACTTAAACTGTTAAAACTAATTCAGTTCTAGTTTATTCAATCGTTTGTATTTTACTTAAAATGCGGTATTTAAAAAGAGAGATATAATTCGTTTTTTACCCTGATCTAATATTATAATCGTAGTAATACAGCGTTTCTCAAACTGTGGGGCGTGTGATAACTCAACGACGGGTGTGTGAGCATATTGAAAAGCGTAAACAAATAATTATTTTAAAAAATATTGATTTACTGAAAGTAAACAAAGAAAATACATTCTAAAATAATAATAAAAATAAAATACACATTTACACTGATATAATAAACTTGCAAATGTATCAGTACTGCACAGTGTATTTCATAATTATTTTAACAATACTATTATAGAGCAAGTTTAACTATTACCAATGACCCATGGCCTTGTCATTTATAAAATTATATACAAAAAATAACACTTATCTCAATAATTTGTATAGTTTATAACTAATCACTTAACTGCAGATAAAAAGTTACGCGATTTGCTTCCCAATGCCACCATTTTCCACGCAGACACGCGTATGTGATGTATTGGGGGAGGGATGAATAAATAAGCAAACCCTCTGAAATAAGTAAATCCTTCGCAAACATTGTCAAGGGCTTTTTATTGCATTCCAAAGTTTTTGGAATAATTTTATGGATAACTGTGGACAGAAAAGCTCCTACATCGGAAAGATGTATTTATACGTATGGGGCAATTAAAGCTTTGGGTGAGTGAGACGTTTCTATACGCTAATCGGACCTAAGAAGTTAAAGTCGTGTTGTAGCTTTAGTGTCAAAACATAGTATTATTGAATAAAATATTTTGTTATTCAAAGGAAGGGGGGGGGGTCGATGAAAATTATGATTTAATAATGGGTCACATATATTAAAAGTTTGAGAAGCACTGTAGTAATATATATCTTCAGAATTAACTTATTCATGTGAAACTTGGTCCATTTCTCCAGCAGATAAAAACATGAGAAGTATGTACAAAAGGAAAATTTTAAGATTTATTTAAAAAGGAATTCAGGAAAATGGAACTCAGCGAAGAAGATCAAATTTAGAGCTCTATCAATCATATATAAAGAATCTGACATTGTTAACTTCGTCAAAATACGACAAATTAATTAGACAGGTCACGTTGTCAGAATTGATGAAAACCGCACCACTAAAATAAAGTCTTCAATGCCCAACCAATTGGCACACGAATGAAGAGTAGGCCAAATCTTAGGCAGATTAGGCCTAGAAAAAGATCTCTTAGTTTTGAGAAATAAGAAATGGAGGAAGGACATAGCAGGAAAAAGGTTTCTTGAGAAGGCCTGTGCTGTCGAAGAAATGAGGAAGGAATGTGTTTCTTAATTAAAAGTTGGATATACATATCTTGTGAATAGTCATATTTCGGCTTAGGGTTTCATGATTTGTACTTATAAGTCTTTCCTGTTCTTCAATTCTACACTTCTCCATAGTTCTAAGTTTAATATTCAGAAGAGTGTGTGAGTGGGATTAAATTTAAGTCGCACAATATACAACACAAATGCATTTGATAACGGACCTCGTAATTTTGACTCATACACAAGTGACATCGATGGCACTAAAACTATCTCATCATCAAAACTTTCACACCACATCAACGGGACAGCTTTGACCTTGGACATATTTAACCCTTAAGTGCCGCGGGCGTGTACACACTTCCTGCTGAGCCGATGTATTTAGTAACATGGACGTGAAAGTTCGTCATCCAAAGGAGGACATTTTGCTTTGTGTTCTGTTTTAAAGATATGCTGCTTTATTTTAAACTAGTCCCACGGCTTTGGAATACAAAAACATGACATTGACAGTTCTTCTAAAGAATTTACTTATTTCGGAGAAAAGGTGGAGAAGGACATTTGAGAAAGGGTATATTCCAGAAACGACGAAACTCATTGCTAAGCAGCTTTTCTTGTTTTTTTTTTCGTTTGAGTGTGCTTTTTGCCATTCTTCATTTGCTGTCATTTTCGCTTACCGTGTTAGTAGAAGCTTTTTAATTTTTTGAACAAATGCGCTGAATGCGATACTGGTTTATGTGTTCAACTATGTTTCAGGATATAACATGGAAAGCATGTTATAAATTATTTTTTGGTATATTTTAACTCTAGAGATTAATGTTTTAAATTTTCATTGTATTATATTTCATCCTTTTTATTTCTTTTTTTAAAGTGAAAGTGAACAATTTTTAGGTGAGAAAACACGCTTTTTCTGTATCCACAATAAACCACGTAACAACGCACACCTGTGGGGGAAACGATGGCACTTGGGGGGGGGGTAAATTTCGTAAATTTTCCTCGGCAGTTAAGGGTTTTACATGCATCAGCATCTCTACACAACGGGTCTTCAGTGGCACAAGGACTCAAACACATGACATGCCGGCCAAAAGTCCTCTCCCATATTAATCATGTTGCAGAAGAACAGCGCCAGAAATATTTCAAAGTTCAAAACTCGTATAAAGCAAATTAGTAGCTCTGGAAATATTCGTAGATAAAAATGAATGGATAGAGCTGCACTGTTAACATTCGCTAGAAAATAATAATTATCTGATTTATTTTCTCAATTCGTACTTTATTTATAAAGAAATAAAATATTTTTGTATCACGCATGCTAAGTCAAATTCAAACCCTAACTTTATTGATTTGATTTTTTGAATATATGTACTCTTAACAGATAAAAAAATCGATTCATTCTCTAATTGAATTTCTTAAATACTTCGAGTAGTATTTATATTCATATAAAAATATTTGCTTTTCATTCCAACCAAATTTATCATTACAGCAAAATCCAATACACAGCAAATTATTTCATTTTTCCCATCTTGCGTAAATAAAGTCTTATAGTAACAAATAATATAAAAAATATTTTTAAATGAATTCTTACTTAGGTGAACTAAGAAAATTTTTTTTAGTTACTTTTTATCAAATAGTTACAATAATTATAATTATGTATACACATATGACAGAATCACAATATTAAGTGACAAAATAGAAAGTGACTGTCTTTGCAATTTTCCATTTTCTTTTCTCTATATGGTGTTGAACTATTTTTTGTTTATGTTACTATTTGCTCATTAATTAAATTCAATTAGTAAAATAAAATAGTATAGTAGAAGAGAAATCACAATCTCGGAAATTAGGCTATCCCAGGTGGGATTCAAATCCACTACCTTTGGATTACAAGTCCAACGCGCTATGCATTGTGATACAGGGACACAACGAACGAATTCTATTTATATATATGCTGTTGGACTATTATTTCTGTTTGTTTCTATTTATCCATTATTTTAAATTTAATGAATGGATTGATATTTGAAAAAACCGTATTAACACCGAGTGTCATCGACTACAAGTTTAGAAAATGTATTTGAACTTGAATGGATGAATGAACAGAAAGTATTTTATTAACAATTGAAAATTTCAACAACATATATATATATACATAAGGAGAAAGTGAACTGGTAGTAAGAAATGAATGAAAAGGGAAATAGAATATAATGTTTAATATTATTTTTGCTTCAAATCTTCCATATTTAATCTCCAGTAAGTTAAAATATTTAAGCTTGCTGACAACTTACTATAAATATGAGCAATAGTATTTTTTTAAAGCATGAGTTTTTATTTTTCATTTTTATAGCTTTCTTGACAAAAAAATAAATAAAGAAAGAAATTGTTTTATTTTAAAGGAAATAATAAAATAAATTCTAAAAACATGTCATTAAAAACAATTCATGTTTAGAAGTTTTGTCTCCCATTATGATAAAACAAATCGTTGTCAAAATAAAAGTTTTATGTTCAATTTCTCTTCAGCCATTTAAAACAATATTCGCGGGAGGAAATGTAAGAATAACTTGCTGTTGCCATTTCTTTGTTCCTAAATAAAGCAAATAATTGTTTCTTTTAGAATTATTAAAAGAAGCATGAGATCTATTTTTTTTTTCCTCAATTCAACTTAAGACCTTCAGTTTTTTTTGTTTTTTTTTTGGTTAAGAATTTTATTTTATTTTTTTTCTTTCTTTATTTATTTTGCAATCGTGGGAAAATAAAATATTACTGCATTATTATTTAAGTATCTGTCTACCGGAGGCTTTGAGTGAATAAAAGTATATAAATCCTTTGAAAATTATATCCAGACAAGTAAACCAATTTAAATGCAACCGAAAGGGAAAAAATACGAATGATTTGTCTAGAATTATAATTTTCCTACCGTTTCCAAAAAAGTGTTTATATCTATCTAAGTGTTTATTCTGATCTTTAAAAAGCACTTAGAAATATTTTTAAATAAAGAAAAAATATAGAGTTCACACAGGAATCTTTATTTCTTTTTTCTTTTTCTGTTGCTCTCCTTTGCATTTAAATCAAGTGACAGTATAAACCTGAGGAGTATCGTATAAAAACTTAAATCGTTTTTCTTTCCATACAATTTCATTCAGGAATTTAAAATGGCCAATATGTGGAAATCTTATGGAAACGTCACTTTTGTTAATTGAATTCAAATTTTAAAATACTTTTGAGATTTCTGAAGAAATACTGTCACAGATTCATCTATTTTATATATCATCATTCGTTTTTATTGAAAAGTCTTTAATAGATTGCTCGAAAATTAATTTGTTCTGAAATACTTAATGCGAAGAACGGGTATACCAACTAGTATGATAAACTTTGATTACTTTATTTACTATCTCTCTCACACTTAGCTTAGTGGCTGCATTAGCCTAGTGGTCAAGGTATCGGACTCGTGAACGGCGTGTCATGAGCTCGATCCTAATGCCTCTGATGACCCACCGTGCCAAGGGGTCTGATGCACTTAAAATTACGAGGCTTAAACATCCTCCCGTTGTTGTGGTGTGAATGCTAAGGGGTGTGCCAGCTCAGGTTTCGTCCTCGTCATTTGATCATGGTTGAAAATTAAGAGTCTGTCTCCAAACGCCCTCGAGTAGCTAAGTTGAAGTGAATATTCACTCGCTCATCCATGTTACCTTAAGTGGGAAGGTAACAAGCTAACCCAATGCAAAGTTGTAAGTAAATTATTGGGGCTTACCTCAAGAAACCGTTGGTAAGTTGTGATTGAGTAAAGAATTTGGATACATTATTTTAACGACTGATGGTAGTGGTATAATTTGATAAAATTAGATATATCGATTATTGTTTGAATCATTTATAGCATTTTTTACTTAAGGTTTTATAAAAATTGAATGTGTGCGTATATATATATATAAATAACTTTCTTGCAGAATCTGTAAAATACAATAAGTATTTATGTAAAGTCAACTTTTAATTTAAAGTATTCTTAAAATTAAAAAGAAAAACACAAATAAAAAATAACAATTCAACTTAATCTGTGAAACTGTGAATAGAAAATTAACGGTGAAAAATAAATGCCAGAAATACGTTTTTATTTCTCTTGATGCTAGCTTTTTTTTCTACCATGCCTTAACAATTTTGTACATGCTTCTAAACTATGTGAATTTCACTTTTTCGTTTTATATAAGAAACGTAGTTTACTGTACTTTGAGTCACCCAATTAAAAACATTCAAATGAAAGTAGAAAATGTATAAAATTTTATCATTAACATTATTTAAAACATATTAGGATTGACTGCATTAATATCACATCAACGTCAAACATTGTTTAATTTGTGAGTTTTTCAAGTTTTTTATTTTTTAATTCTGTAGCAAATTACAAAAAATATTTGTTCCTATAAATTATTCAGAGTGATGAAGTTCCATAAGAAACTGTGTTAGCTCTTAAACCCAAAACCCTTAATGGAAATTTATTAAATAAAATGAATATTACATTCCCTGCTTCTCTCGTCTTTTAAGTCTAAGCATATTAAAATTGTACTTCCGGTGGTAACCATATCTTAAAGGCTACAATGCGCTTTTGAGATTAATGCAATGTTCAACGCATGCGCAAATGTATTTACACGAAGTGGAAATAATGGTTTCCGTTTCAACACTCCTCTTTGTAGGGAAGGTGTGAAATTAAATTCCATCCCCGAACATGTCACCGGCTGCTGCAGATGCCCAAGTTCAAATATGCAAAGCAGTCAAGTTGCACGCACCGGGGTGTAATACATCTCACGTCTCATCCCTGTGAAGCGAGGATGGAAAGGGCAATACACAGCTGTTCATTTATAATTGCATTGTCCAGCAACATTGTACTTTTTGCCTTGGGACTTACATAATATAATGAAATTAGAGTAAAGTTTGTTGCTCTATAATGACAAAAACAATATAAGCTTTTATATAAATTTAACCATTTTTTCAGAATAAAAAAAGGTAATTAACAATTATTTTATAACTAAAAATCACTTTAAAATGATTAAAGGAAAAATTCTACATATCTCAAGCATTTGTAAATATTAAAAATATATAATTTCTTTAATATTTATTAATATATATTATATTTATAGATAGATAATTCATTTAAAAATAAAATATATAATTTATAAATATTTGTATATTGTCGTGAAAGCAATTTATGAGTTTGTTTTAATTTCGAAAGTAGAACACTTATGAAGGAAACACACAGAAAATGTGTTTATTAGACTTTTCCTTTCAAACAAATACTGGTTTTAAATTTCTGGACATCATTATGATGTCTCTTTTATCAGGTTATCATCCTGTTTTTCTGTCCTAATTTCTACAAACCAATTTTTATATCTTAATATATTTAAACTGGTACATGCCATCAAAGTACTAAAGAAGAGAGTATAGAAAATAAATGCTTACAATCATATAGACGGTCTATTCGCGTTTTTCTAAGAATTCTCTTGGGGAATTACTTTCATTAAATATTTTTAATTGAAAACTTCCTCCCGAAGAAGAAGGCGCGATATATGTAAATTTTGTCATGTATTTAAGTTTTTGTTTTCGGGTTCGAGAAAGAGAGAGGTTAGAAGCTAAAGAATAGCGGTGAAGTTAACGTAAGATAATGTAAAGCTAGACGAGAGCACTTCCTAGATTATTTTATTAATATTAAGATTGACGATTTGGTCAATTAGTTGTTAAAATGGATTCGATCCGTTTGAATTGGATTACTTTAGATGTTATCTTCAAATATATAAGAAGGTGCATTGCCTGGACTGATAAGTGTAAGTGATCCGATTTATTATTATACTCGACTACTTCGCTATTGGTCCCCTATTTATCAATTGGTGCATTTCTTAACTTGGGTTTTTGAATTTGTGCCATTGTTGAGAATAGTAAATAAATTGTGTTGTTTTGAATATAGTTAGTTTTCCTTCTAACTCTCGTACACTGATGGTCGGAAAACCCAACCATCATTACAATATTTTTAATCGATTCTTAATTCAGATAGTATCGAAGCCATTGTTCTACCTCTTGAATAACGTCATTATTTGTGAAGTCAAATTTCTGACACCACAGTGATCTTTCAAGTACTGAGAATGAGAAAACATCAATTCGGAAGAAGTCGTGAAGAAGAAGGAAGAAGAGTGGCAAAATTTCAAATCAACGTCGCTGGATTCCTCAATAGCCCTTGAGATGAAAATCATGTATATTGTCAAAAAAGGACGGATGCCTTTGTAATCATACCTCTTAAATTATTGATCAGAGCATGGCTCACTTTGTTCAACACTGTAACGTAATAGGCCTTAGTGATTATCTAATATTTTCTTAAATAGTATATTCAGATTCCACTTTAATCCCAAAAAGAAATAATATGACCTTCCCTGTAGACTATTGTACCTTAGCTTTCTAGTTGAGGAGGCTGAGTTGAGACGTTGTGTTTTAACTCCTTGCTCATCCTATTATTATATTGATGCATCTAAAACTCATCCATAGTTAATAGAAGACCAACACCATATTCTATTCCTCATGCTCCATAAGATTCCGTGTTCTCGATGACAGGCCCCATGTTTGCTTCTGAAAAGTAGTCCAAATTCTTGGAGCTCAACATAATACCTTTGATACTTATAGATCTTGTTCTATAACTTTTTACACAGCAACTGCCAGAACTAAGATCTGTGACGGGTCTATCCGCGTTAATTTCCAAACTAGTCCTCTTGGGTAACTTTGGGGCCAGCATTTATTCTATTTCACAGCCTCCTCGGGAAAAACACGAGATAGTTATATGCTAATTAGTTCGACTATATAAAGTCTAGATTTCATAAGAGAGAGAGAGAGAGAAAAGGAATTGCCAAACTATATGTAAGTATCGTCTACGGATCACTTCAACGAGTTTAGTGCG